GTCGGCTCGGGGTTACGTCGGCTCGGGGTTACGTCGGCTCGGGGTTACGTCGGCTCGCTGCTCGACTGCCGATCGGTCGTGTTGATGTTCTGTTCACGGTTTACAGCAAAGAAGAGCAGCGCGAGCACTTTCAGCTCAAACACCCAGAAACTCAGGTCAATCGTGTGGATGCACAAAATTTACCTCGGCAACAGTGAATGCTGTTATCTGATTGGCTGCTAGGTCGTTAAGCCGCGATGAGCTCTGTAGAGAAATGAAATATATTATATTGAAATTAGAACAAATCCCCGTTCACACCTCAGTGCAGCGTTCAAACATCCATCATCACAAACTGCTTCCTGTTGGCCGGCGGCGTCCCGTCAGCGAGCGGCGGCTGCTCATTTTTAACTTGTAACCCCGTGACACGGGTGCTGTCAATCATTAATCTATGCCCCGCCCCTACCTCTTGATACACGCCCACAATATCAGGATCAAACGTCTAAAACTGAAAAAATTAATTTAAAGCCAGAAATAAATATTTGCATGAAAACAAAAAAAATATTTAAAGTAAAAAATTTCGTTTGTTTTTCAAACACATCAAAAACAAAACTGTAGTTTGAGCCTCGTCAGTGAGCGAGGAAGAAAGGTGACAGGTGACGGGCGGGCGTTGGGTGGAGAGGATGACGAGGTTGTGCGGCTGTGTGGTGCGGCTCCTCCGTCGGTGTCGGTCGGCGTTAGTCGGTGCTTCGGGCGTCGCTCTGTGTCTGCCTGTAACTGTCGGCCGATTGGCTCCACAGCTCCGTCGAGCCACCATCTCTAACCCCGTCACCGGCGTGCTGGAGACGGCCCACTACCGCATCAGTAAGAGGTAAGAGCTGCCGGGGCAGGAGGCGGCGTCCGCGAGGTGGACCTCACCTCTCTGCCCCCAACACCACCCTGTCCTCCCCCCTCTGTGATGGCGGCCGTCCCGGTGAGAGCAGAAAAGGCAACGAGTCGCTTCAAACAAACGAATAAATAAAATGTTCCTTCCTCCAAAGTGGAATTCTCATTTAAACATCACAGAAGGAAGAATCGCATTATTATTACAGACTTCCAGCCTCCGATCATCACAGCTGACGCTCCCCAGCAGTCTGAAACATAAAAGAATTCAGTTTTATAAAATCCAGCTTTCACACATTCAGCTTGAAAGAAACGTTTAAACGTCCATGATGGGCTGTAAGCTCTGAAACATCTCCATAAACTTGTAGTTTCACGTTGTTGCTGCTGAGAAATGGTTAATAATAATAAAGCAGATGTTCATGAGCAGCTGGCGTTACCTCTGTCCTCCCACCAGGGGGCGCTGCAGCACAGAGAGACAGCTGTAACTGTCATCAGCTCAATCAGTCCCACCTGGGCAGGTGTAAAAGGCCACATCAGAGGAGATATCAGAAGGTCCTGTAACGCTGCAGGAACAGTTACTTTGAGCGTCTTCTTTCAGGCTCTGCTCTCGCTGGGATTCGAGCCTCGGCTTGTTTTCTTTGCTCGTTCGGGGACAGGAAGTCAAACATTTAAGACTCTCGATGTCGCTTTAACGTTTTCGTGGAGGCAGCAGGAGGATTCGTGTCTCATACCTGTGCTTCTCACTGTTACCTGCACATTGTTACGTAAAATAACAAGAGTCTGCAAACGTTTCAAAATAAAGTTCTGAAGTCAGACAGTGTGTTGACCTGTCAGTGCGTCAGCTTCACGGAAATACTCTCTACAGTAGTTACTGTAAAACTACTGCAGGCACTGCAATGTTACTGCGTGTTTTGTGTATGATGCTGGTGTAGTGACTTCATAAGTGAAACATCAACTGAGATTATTTTCAGTTTCAATTATGGCAGAATATCGATCCCATAACCTTCTGTTTGTGAGGGGCAGCCAATCAGAGGAAAGTTGTCTGAAGGTGGGAGGAGCGAAAGCAGCTTGCCAAACATCCTGAAGGTTGACCACGTGCACTCCATGTCCTCTTCATTAGGTACCTTGTTGGCTCTGGGTTGGACTCGGCGCTCTTTAACTCGCCAAAGCAGATCAGGGCTTCACGTGTACCTAATGAAGTGGCCTTATGTGGCGTTTGAAGCTCGTGCTGCCTCCCTGACTGCAGCGTGTGGATAGTGACCGCCCTCTCTCTGTCCTCTCTCTGTCTCTCTGCATTAACCTATAATTGGGAGTAGCTCAGACGTGCCACGGTGCATGACCCTCACACAGGCAAACTGACCACGGCCCATTACCGAGTCTCCAAGAGGTAAGAGCTGGACGCCACTCGCTTCAGGCCCGGGCGGAGCACAGGCTGTTCGTAACGATGGAAGCCGCACGTGCAGCGCTCCGGACAGCTTTGTCACAAGCGACCAATCACAAGCCGACTTGTAAAGCCGCGCGTGAACTCCTGGATCCATCAGTGAGCGTGCGAGTTTTTTTCCTCCGCAGTAAATTTGTGACTTCGCTTCAGCTTTTATTGAAGTCACGATATAAATGTTTTTGGGGCGTCCATCTTTATTTACAGCCTGTGGTCACCACCGTCTCGGGGGCGGAGTCTCCTCCTTCATGCTTTTCTAACGTTCAGCTGGCTGTAATGACACAAACGTCAGCGGTGAAGCTCTGTAAATGTCGTTTTTTTCATAGAGAAGCTGCTTTAGAAACTGTCTGTTGTTTCCCCGCCCTCCTCGTTGCCGTCTCCTCGCCGTGCGCCGGTTTGTGCTGTTTTCGTGACCTCGGCGGTGACTCTGTGTCTTCTCTGTCCTCTCAGCGCCTGGCTCGGGGCGTACGAGCATCCCGTGGTGGACAAAATCAACCAGCTGATCGAGGACGTCACGGGGCTGAACGTGAAGACGGCCGAGGACCTGCAGGTAACGCCTCACCTGAGTTCAAACGCCGCTAACCGTCTGGCGCCTCTGATGTTTTAAGCGCTGTGTTTGATGCAGGTGGCTAACTACGGCCTGGGGGGACAGTACGAGCCGCACTTCGACTTCGGACGGGTAAATAAAACCAGATACATGAGAATCTGTTTCTGTCAGCATTTATTTCTGCTGAAAGACGGAAAACGATCAATAACAGATATGGATCCATGTTGGACACATTTCATTAAAATCAACTAAAGAAATAGATCCAATCTGTGTATTTGTATTGTAGATTTATTTATTTGTAACTTTTAACAAAGTTCAGTTTTTGAAATGACTGAATGAATTTTCATTACTCTGACCGCCGTGCACTTCCTGTTTCAGAAAGACGAGCCGGACGCGTTCGAGGAGCTGGGCACGGGGAACCGGATCGCCACGTGGCTGCTTTACGTCAGTGCTGCTGTGTGTGTGTGTGTGTGTGTGTGCGCGTGTGTGTGTGTGTGTGTGCGTTGCTGCCGCTCACGCTTTCCTCCTTCCCGCTGCAGATGACCGACGTGCAGGCAGGGGGCGCCACCGTCTTCACTGACATCGGAGCTGCTGTGAAACCCAAAAAGGTTCAACTACTCACTTTCTTCATCATCATCATCATCATCATCACAGAAACAAGTCTGTTTAATAAACCAAACTGAGAAACAGGCGGGCAGACGAGGGCGCCGCTTCTCAGTAATCTGACGCAGTGTCATGTGACACGTCATGTGACCGTGTTTCTCCAGGGGACGGCGGTGTTCTGGTACAACCTGTATCCAAGCGGAGAAGGAGACTATCGGACCCGACACGCCGCCTGCCCCGTGCTGCTGGGAAACAAGTGGGGTGAGGTCATCGCGCCATATTCACACACGTGCACAGTAAAACAATAAATACACACAAAATCGTCATCAAGTAAAAATACTTTCAGATTTTCACGCCTGGTGATGATTGACATAAAAAAAATTTCTTTTAAAAATTATTTTCTAAAAATAAGTCAAATAAAAGAACAAATCCAATCTCCCGTCAGTTATATAAAACTGTTTTGGGTCATTAAAAGCTTCGTTGTTATGTTCGAGTTGATTTATTTTTAAATGTTTGTGTTGATTGATGAATATTGGATGTTTTCTGGGTGTGTTTGCAGCAGCTCACGTGACTGCTGAAGGATTTTTGGTGTTTGATGTTTCAGATGAAACAAACTTGACTGAGCTTCATGAAAAGCTTCAGATTTGATGAGAAAGACGGAGAAACCTTCACGCTGCTCAGACTCGTGGCGTTTGTCGAGGCTCTGATGAAACTCTTTCTTCCTGCAGTATCGAACAAATGGATCCACGAGCGAGGGCAGGAGTTCAGGCGGCGCTGCAGCCTCAACGAGACCGACTGACAACCGACCTTCCTCCTCCAGCTCAGCCGTCTTCCTCCTCTGCTTCCTGCCTGCAGGCGCAGAGTGTGACTGCACATGTGATCCAACACGCTTATTTTTCTCTACAGTGTGTGTGTGTGTGTGTGTGTGTGTGTTTGACTCGTTTCTCCTTTAACGAGAATCACGCTGACGTTCAGACGTCCGTACCTGTCCAGGTGTTCAGCCTGAGAGCTAAAACTTCTCGAGAACAAAGAACGCTGCACGAGAGGTTCGTTTAAAGACGAATAAAGTTTTTTGGGGTTTTTTGGATCCAGAATGTTTGAAATCTCGTGAGCTTTGACTTAAAAGCAGAAAATCTGATTGATTTAATTCTGTTCCATTGACGGTTCTGCGCATTAAACCAGCGAGTGGAACGAAGGAGCGCTAAATGTGACAAATTTTGAATGGAGTTTGGCCCGAGGTCGCTAACATGAGTCGAGTCAGACGCTACAGACCGAGAAACGCTCCGTCACCCGTGTCACTCCCTGACCTTCACGACTGTTACAAAGACTGCGAGGAATCAGATTACTCTCGTCATCACGGGAATCAACCAGAAGCAAGAACCGATCGAATCTGAACGACGATCGATCGTGTGGTTCTGTGAGACAATCATAGCTGAAACTGAGCTGCGTATTTATTGATTTCTGACAGGATTCGTGTGAACGCCTCTTCACTGTTTTTCATCTGTGTTTTAAAAATTCCTCGTTTAAAAGTTTTAAAATGTTTGCACCTTTTTTTTTTCTGTTTCCTGTTTCTTTTTGAAGTCTGAAACGTGTCGCCGAGCTCCTGATCTGATTCATGTCACCTCAGCCGTGACAAAGTGGGTTTTATTTTGGAAACTCTTCCACGCTTCAGCTGCCATGCTTTTATTCTGAAAAGCAGAACATCTGAGGCTCTTTGATTTACAAATTCAGTCCAAGTGGATTTTTCTGCGCTGTCCACCCGTCGTCATGGTTACACCCCCGTTTCCACCAATGGCGTGAGCGTTCGAGGAGGTTTAACCGTAAGGTCGTTCAGATGCTGCAGGTCAAACTCCAGATAAGCAAAGCACGCCGCCTCCTCTTAACCCTGTTAGCTTATTTCTGAGCGCAGTTACTAATTTCTGCTCCACGCCGTTTCCGTGACAACCCTCACTCCTGTTTGTGTGTGTCTGTTGTGTGTTGGATGATGTCCTGTGCAGTGACCTGATGTAAGACACGTTTCTTATCAGAATAAAATGCTGCTGCAACCCAGGAGAAGTAAGAAAATGGCATCTGTCGTTATTCTCTGGCGGCAGCGTTGCCTCAGCAGCGTGCTGCTGCGTTTTAAAGATGGCGACCATTTATCGTGTTTAAAAAAAGAAACAAACACTCTTCAAACCTATAAATTTAATAATCAAAAACAAAACGATCGATCAGCTGATCAGCGATGGACTACCCCATCCACAGGAAGACAACGTCTTTGGTTCAAGGCAGAAAACAGCAGGAATTGTGGGATTGTAGTTTTGCAGGGAGAACTCCGATTGGCCCTTTGTGCTGGTGTCGTGCGGCACGGTCAGAGAGGCCTGTGTTAAGGCTCGGGGAGGCGATAATCTGGCAGGTGATTTCCCTCGCGGACGCGTCCGAAGCAGCCGAGCAGCAGATCGATGGCGGTGCTGACGGTGGAGCGGACATCCTCCTCAGTCTGGCCCCTCAGAGGGTTCACCTCCACCAGGTCCACCGCCGACAGCAGACCTGCAGAGAGACAAAGAGCACATTTGTGGTAACTTCCTGGTTATGTGAGGGCGAGTGTGGCACGTGGGGGTAATGAGCTGGTGTTCATGTTGTGGATTTTGGAGTTAATTCAGTTTGAAAATGAGGCAGCGTCACTGACAGGAAGCTTCAGCATCATGTGACCGCACAGTTCCTCTGATCGTTTTATAGGCAAATAAAGACTTTAACGTGAGTTCTTCGGCTGGTGGGGTTCTGCAGTCACTCCCCAAAGGCTGCGTCTGTACAGGGAGTGCAGAATTATTAGGCAAGTTGTATTTCTGAGGAATAATGTTATTATTGAACAACAACCAT